CATTTTAAATTGCCTGTCTATCATCCCCCAGCCTCCACAGTGCCTTCAGTATAGCTCCCACCCTCGTGCATAGGTATAATACAGAACTTATTTTCAAAGAATTGTTGCATTCCAGTTGGACCTGTCTTTTGGCTCCCTAAAGGATTGGTGTAATCGTGCTTTTGTTTTGCCTCACTTAGAGTGTTTCCAGGTTTGGAACAGCTTCCTGAGGGGCATGTGTTGAAAAAACTTAAAGACACGAGTATTGGCTATAGGAGCCTGGGGCAAGGGACAACAGTTAAACAGTAAACTGATGGAAAAGCATGGGAAGGAAGAGGCTATGAAAGGAAATACTTGGGGGAATGAGAACTTTAAAAAGTTCTTGTATATACTAGAGAAATAAAAAGCCATGCACATGCGCAGGGCTGGACAATTATTCAGAAAATGCCTGAGAAGACCTTAAGATCTCATATCTCACTAGCTTTCAGGCCCCTTGCAAGCTAGAAGTGAAGACTACAGCCTGGCTAGTTGAAAGAGTGCCCCAACACACAGAGCCAACCTTCAAGGACTTAGAGAATACTTCTCTTTCTTTCTTAGGCTCCACGTGTTTAAGGAAACTGTCGGAGTACTAGGTGACCACTAAGCTATCAGAACACCGACTCCAGTGGCCACAAATGATAAAAATACAGACTTTACAAAAATATTTAAGAAAAGTTACTAAAAAAGCAAATAAAAAACAACAACACACAAATGCTATCAACTAAACCCATGGGGTGGGGAGGGAAGTGTGTTTAGAAATCTAATTTCCAGAGTTGATACAGTATGATATCAAAACATCTAATTTTTAATGATAAACAAAAAATAAGACATGCAAAGAAAACAAGAAGGTGTGGCCTATTCACAGGGAAAAGAGAAATTAATAGAAACTGTGCAGAAGGAAGCCCAGGCATTGGGCTTACTAGAAAAGAGTTACGTCCACTCTCTTAAATATGCTCAAAGCGTTTCCATAAATAAAATACAAAGAACTAAAGTAAACCAAGAGAATAATGTCTCACCAAGTAGAGAATATCCATAAAGAGAGAGATATTATTATTTTAAAAAACAAATAGAACTTTTGGAACTGAAAAGTACAGAAACCGAAATGAAAAAAAAAAAAAAAAAAAACCACTGGAAGTTTCCAACAGCAGATTGGAACAGTTAGAAAAAAGTCATTGAATGTGAAGCTAGAGCAATTGAAACACATGAGTATAAACATGCAAGAAGCTCAACAAACTCCATGTAAGATAAACATGAAGAAATCTACAATGAGAAAGCTTATAACCATGCTGTCATAAGACAAAGACAAAGCAAGAATCTTGAAAGCGTTATAAGAGAAAGGCCTTAATTATATACAAGGACTCCTCAATAAGATTAGCAGCCAGTTTTTCTTCAGAAACCATGGAAGCCAAAAGGCAGTGGGATAACATATTTAAAGTTGCAAAAGCAAACAAACTTGTCAAAAATTCCATATCCCCCAAGACTAACTTTCAGAAATAAAGGAGAAATTAAGACATTCCTAGAAAGAAAAAAACTTTACAGATTCCACCAGTAGTAGACCTCCCGTAACAGAAATGCAAAACGGAGTCTCTCAGTATGAAATGAAAAGACGCTAGATAGTAACTCGAAACCATATGAAGAAATAAGGAACAAAGAAAAGGGTAGCTACATAGATACATTAAAAAGCCAGAAGAATTATATTTTTGGTTTATAATTCTCTTTTCCTCCCATATGATTTTAAAAACAAATGCATGAAACAATAATTATAAGTCTGTATTAATTAACATTGTACAATGTTTAATCATAAAGTTTGTAAAAATAACACAAAAGGGATTAGGGCTTTAAAGGAGTAGGTTTTATGTACTATATAAACTAATTTGTAGTTTAATAAAAATCGATTGCTCTAAAATTAAGATATTAATTGTATTCTGCAGGATAGCCATAAAAAATTAGTATATAGGGAAAAAGAAACAGAAAGGAATAAAAGTGGTACACTAGAAAAGATCAATTAATCACAAAAGAAGGTAGGAATTATGGAATTGAGAAAAAAGCTATAAGATATACAGAAAATATATAGCAAAGTAGGAGGAGTAAGTACCTCTTTACCAGTAATTACTTTAAATGGATTAAACTCTCCAATTTAAAGGTAGAGATTGGCAGAATGCATTTTTTAGAACATCCAACTCTATGCTGTCTAAAAGAGTTGGCTTTAGATCCAATTCACAAACGGTTAATAGTAATAGCATGAAAAAAGAAAATTCTTGTAAAAAATAACCAAAATAAAGTTGGTCTGACTGTCCTGATACAAGACAAAATACACCTTAAGACAATAATTATTTCAAGAGACAAAGATGGACATTATATAATGATACGATCAGTCTGTCAAGATGTACTAATTAAGCATACATATTTATTTTACAAGAGTCCCCAAATACATGAGGCAAAAACTGAACAGAACTAAAGGAAAAAATAGAGAGTTCTAAAAAATAACTTGGTGACTTCAATACCCCACTTTATTTATTTAGTTAGAGACAGAGTTTCTCGCTCTGTCACCCAGGCTGGAGTGTAGTGGCACCATCTTGGCTGCAATCTCCGCTTCCTGGGTTCAAGCGATTCTTATGTCTCATCCTCCCGAGTAGCTGGGATTACAAGCGTGCACCAACATGCTCAGCTAATTTTTGTATTTTTAGCAGAGAAGGGGTTTCACCATTTTGCCCATGCTGGTCTTGAACTCTTGACCTGGAGTGGTCCACCCACCTCGGCCTCCCAAAGTGCTAGGATTACAGGCATGAGCCACGTCACCCAGCCCAATACTCCACCTTAAACAATGGATGAAACAACTAAACTGAAGATCATTAAGGAATTAGAGAATGTGAACAAAGTTGTAAGTCAACTAGACCTAAAAGATATAAAAATATATCTTTCTTTGAAAGGTAAGATTCCATCACCTACCATGTAGACCATGCTATACCAGGAGAAGGGAACTGGCTTTTGTGACATCCTGGCCTGTGCCTAACTCTCTTTTAGACTTAAAGGATGGCATATGGACATAGGTGTACTGACACACAGGAGTGCCTTGCAGAGGCTCCGGGAAGCAAGCACGATGTCTTCCAGGTATTTTGTGAAAGAGAAAAATGATCTCTAACATTCCCTTCATATATCATCTAAAGAACACTCAGAGAAAGCCTTGACTAGATGAGTTAGGCTCCTTAGGTAGCCTCTTCAGCCTTCACAAAGCCTGAATTCCATTCTCTGTGGCCTGATTGGCAGAGGCATTCTCTGCCTCTGATTTAGGGAGAAAAGCAAACAGTTCGACCATGTAAGTTTGCTAACACTAGGTAAGAGAAATGGCAAAGTCAAGGGCGTTTTACTTCTAACATGTGATAACCTTGAATCAAACGTCTAAACATGTATGTATTCTAGAGAGCCAATATGCACATTGTAATGTATCTGTAAATTGAAAAAACTCAAACAAAACAACTAACAGTGTCTAATTCTCTAAAGCTGAGATTTTTGACAGCACATTTTCCAGTTTTACCTTTATTTATAATGAAGGCTTGACACATTGACAAATAAGCTTAGTACTGATAACATTCTGAGTAATACCATATTTTTATCTAAAAATAAACGGCACTGTTTACATGCTAGGATGATTAAATGTCTTGCTCTTACTAGTCAAGAAAATTAAAACCTTCTAACAAATTATTGTTTAACACAAAATCCAATTAGCTGAAATATGTTTAGTGACATTTTAAGTAGCCTTTCTATATAAAAACCGAGAAAAATGATAGAAGGAAAAACATTAAATCAGAAGGAAATTTCTCATAAAGGGTGTTATTTGATGTTTATAACAAAAAATTCCTGCACATGTACATTCCCTCTAACCCCCCAATATAATGCAAATAGAAGAACAGGCAAAATGCAATTGAGAAAAACAGTAATTGAATTTTGATTGAGTTTCTGTGATAGAGAATATGCCTCATTAGCTTCTGTTATAATTGTTCCATTTTTCATTTTTTTGCCAAATGTTTATATTATCCTTAGGATTTGAGCGCAATTTGATTCATTGTTATTTTTGAACTATAAAGAAATGTCATGAGAGTTAGCAATAAAGTACTATTAGTTACTCCATACCATTGGAAACTTCCCATTACCTAATATTGTATGAAATATTTAAGGCACTAAATACTACCTATAGTTTGATGAGGATGGAATTGAAAGGAATAATTAATGTGATTGTGTGTGTGTGTGTGTGTGTGTGTGTGTTGAACACCTTGTTGTGCAAATAAGGGAGTATATTAATAAGCCTCTATCGATTTAGTAAAATAGTATCACCTCTCATGAACAATCATAGAATCCATTTGTAAGAGAACATATTTGAACACTGGACATACACTGGACATGCAAATACATGGGAACTTTAAATAGAGAAGTTCTTATATGACCAATGGAATACGTGAATGTGTGATAAAACCATTTTAAAAGTCATTTCCTCTTGGGATTGAGAGACCACTTATTTATGGTATATATACACCTATGTGTGTACACATGTTTACTAACTATATTTTAGCCATGGTAATCATTTCAGTTACCTCGCTTTGTGCCTATATCCGTATGTATGTGTATATGTACTTATTTATACAAAACAAGATGTTAAGGAGAGTTTGTACATGCATTTAATGCAAGCAAATACTTTCCCTTCAAAACTTTGTCAGAATACACATCTGGTCTGATCCAAACCACTACAGATTAATCCAATTTTAATATAGATTTATTTTTTGTGTGAACCTAAATATAATAGGCCTATGTATGTATACGTTGAAAAGTATGGAAGAAAATAACCCAACATATTATCAGTTGTCTTAGCAGATTTTATGGTGTTTTTCTTCTTGGTGTACACAAGATTATTTTTGAACTACGTGGCAAACATCATACTTTTTAATTTTTTTTTTTTTAAGAGACTAAGGTGTCACTATGTTCTTCAGGTTGCTCTGCTCCTGGGTCCAAGCTATTCTCCTGCCTCAGCCTCCCAAGAAGCTGAAACTACAGGAACACGCAACTACCTGGCTTGCAAATACCACTGCTAATAAGAAGATATTGTAAGTCTGATACCTAAGAGGTAAGAGGTAACACACACATACACACACGCATGTAGGCACACACACACATACACACACACTCAGATCACAAGAAGAAGCTGAAAAATATTTAAAGACATAGGAACATGTGGAAAAATAAATTATTCACTGTTAAACATAGGACAATTTTTAAAACTGCGTAACTTTTTTTTTTGAGACAGAGTCTCACTCATTCTGTCGCCCAGGGTGGAATGCAGTGGCGTGATCTCGGCTCACTGGAACCTCCACCTCCCGGGTTCAAGCGATTCTCCTGCCTCAGCCTCCTGAGTAGCTGGGACATCAGGTGTGGGCCACCATACCTGGCTCATCTTTCTATTTTTAGTAGAGATAGGGTTTCACCATGTTGGCCGGGCTGGTCTCAAACTCCTGACCTCAAGTGATCCACCCGCCTTGGCCTCTCAAAGTGTTGGGATTACAGGCGTGAGCCACTGCGTCTGCCCCCAAACTGTGTAACTTCTAATGGGAATTTATACAGATGTAAGTGTATGTATCATGCTCTGTGGAGCAATGTATTACATACAATGATGTGTGCTGTCTTGGCCTTCTCTTACGACTCCTACCAAGCACTGTCTGACAATTCATCACATAAGCTGAGAAAATGGAGAAGGACTGCCTGGTTGTCTGGGGAGGGGAATAGGTCAAAGATCACCTAGACTTGTGAATTGGTGACTCATGATGATCTCCAGGCTTCTGATAATTTATTCTCGCCTTTCTTCTCTGATCAGTCTAATTTCCTGCCTGAGACAGACATTTTGATACCATGTGAAAGTGCTGAGCCAATCCACATAGACTAAGTCTGGAAAACATTTAATTTATTGAAAGAACAAGATTCCTGATGAGGATGGGTGGTTTAGGCCTTGACTTGATTTCACATGAAAAAGAAAAGCAAAAATACAGGAATTTGCACAGGTTGCCCCAAACTGTGCAATACGCAAGGCAGCCATGTTTCCTGGCCCATTTGTCTCTGGGTGGCGTTTTTTCAGACAGGAAGGGCGGGAGAAGACTGCTCCAAGACAGGGTGTCCTTGAAAATCTGAAGCACTACTGCCACCGTGAGGAAATCGTTTAGACAGACTAGGCCATTACAGCGTCCTTCCCGGAAAGCCGCGCCATAGGGGAAAGGCTGGTCTGTGAGGAGGTGGAAGAGGATTGGGCTCCAGGCTAGGTCTTGTTGCCTTCTCCAGTAAGGCCTGAAGAGATACCTGGACTTTGGCGGTATCTTGGTGTAGAACCTGGAGAGTGAGGGGCTTGGAGGGAAGCAGCAGCCTCCAAGGACTTCTCCAAGGAAGTCATGGGGCGGGGCCTCGGTCCCTCGATCCACCTGCCTTGGCCTCGCAAAGTGCTGGGATTACAGGCGTGAGCCACCGCGCCTGGCCCATCGCAAAATCTTAATTGCATTCTCTGTGTCCTCATAAACAGCCATTCCCTGCCTCTGTCCCTCCTGGTGTGGACAGGACAGCAGGAAACCTCTCAAAGACACATGTAGGTTCTTATGGGCATCTCTTTCCTGTTCCTGCCCCTTGGAGCAAGAGTCGGGTTTTCACGAGCTGTCATCTTGCTATGGATCTTTGGGTCTCTGGTAGCATCGCGCACAATCAACAGGGTTATTCCAAGGGAAGTTTACAGGATTTGCTATTATAACCTTCACTCTCCAGGTTCTGTAGCAAGATACCGCCAATGTCCAGGTCTCTTTTAAAGTCTTAGAGGAGTAGGCAAGGACTCCTAGCATAGAGGCCAAGCCTCTTCCACCTCTTACCTGACCAGATCTGCCCCAACAGGTAGCCCTCACTAGAACTCTATAATGGCGTAGGGTTTCGTTAAACGACATCCTCACGATGGCAGTAGAGCTCCAGCTGTGCCAAGAAGTCTTGTCTTGGAGCCCTCTACTCCCGCCCTTCTTGTATGAAAAAACGCCACCCATAGACAAAGGCACCACCAAACATGGCTGCCTTACATTTATCCCGGTTTGGGGCCAGCAGGTCTTACTGCTGCACTTTTGCTTTTGTTTTCCACTTGAAATCAAACAAGACCCGCCCTCACCAAGAATCTTTGCTTTCAGAAATTAAATATCCTCTTGCCCAAGTCTTTGAGGGTATGATTTATTTCACAGAGTTACAGGGCCAGTGTATTTCATGGTATAAAATTATCTTCTTCAGGGATGAAGGCATAAAGAGAAAATTACTTGAAACTTGGAGATCTTCTCTGGCAATCAATTTACAAATTCTGGTGTTCTTTGACCTGGCTCCCCGCCCAGACAACCAGGGAGTTCATGTTCTAGCCTCATGTGTTGCATTATAGACAGTAATTTGTCATCAGCCTTAGAGGAGGGATCCAATAGCTGTCATTGCTGCCTGCCACATATACTCCACATGGAATGATACTCATAGTACATATGTTCAATTCCTGTCGAGGTTACTCAGAGTTATATCTCATGGTCGCATCATTTAACATAAAAATACAACATTTCCCATGCGTTACATATATTTCAAGTATTTCCTGAGACTTTACACAGTGCTTATGTGGGGAATGGATGGGTGCATTATGTTTTCTCCCTTACAGCAAGAGTTAGCAGGCTTTCAGGCAGTGTCACTCTGCTGTGAGGCATGAGTCATTTGTTGCAGCAATGTGAGAACACCAAGGACAGACCAGTTCCAAGTGGGATATAGTAGGAGCGAGCAAGTTTTCTGAGGGTCTCAAGGGTACCCAATTGTCTGGAGAAGACTAGAAGGGCATAAAGAGAAATTGAACCACGGAGCATCGAGGAAGAGTTACATCTTCTTCTAGTAGACTGCTGTACATAAACACATAAACCAAGAGCAGTGAAAGGGATTGAAAATCAATCTATATTTTAATAGTATTTGTTGGAGATGGCATTACCCCTGATTTCACTTCACGTTATCATGTATGACTATTGTGGCAGGTATGTTTTCAAGAAGCATGATTGGTTCTACAAATTCAAAAACAGGTGGCAAAAGTGACATCAATGAAAATTATGCATTAGGGAACTTCTGTAGTGTATCTCTCCGGAAAGGCAACCCAAAACAATCAAGAATCTATAATTAGAAGATCATTGTCTCAACACAATATATGGGGCATTTATAAAAAGTCTACAGATAGTATTATACTCAAGAGTGAAAGACTGAAAACTTTCCTCCTAAGATCATGAACAAGGTAAGAATGCACACTTTTGCCCTTTTCTTGAACAGTACACTTAAAATTCTAGTCAGGGTCATGGGACAATGAAGATATATAAAAGGCATCCAAGTTGAAAAGAAAAAAATGGAAATTATCTCTCTTCATAAAGTTGATGATCTTATAAAAATGCTTAAAAATGCAGAAAAACCATATTAGAGCTAATGAACAATATTCAGCAAGCCCTGCAGGATAGAACATTAAATGGTAAAAATCAGTTATAGTTGTGTACACTAGCAATGAACAATCTGAAAATTGAATTAAGAAAGCAATTCCATTTATAATAGCTTCAAAATAAATCATATTTTAAGGAGAATGTTTCACTAAACAGATGAAAGACTTGTGTATTGAAAATCACAAAATATTGGAGAACTTAAAGATTACCTAGATTTTTAAAAAAGACATCCTGTGGTAATGAGTTGGAAGACTAAATATTTATAATATGGCAATACTAGCCATAGAGATCTATAGATTTAATGTAATCCTAATTATTATTCGCATGAGCATTTATTTTTGGGAAAAAGAAAGAGCAAATTTTAAAGATCCTATTAAATTGCAAGAGATCTGAGTAACCAAAGTTTGAATAAGAAAAACCAAGGTGGAAGACACACTTCTAGATTTCAAAACTTACTAGAAAAGCTAGAGTAATCAAAGCAGGGTGATGATCAAATGAGAATACACACAGTGATTAATGGAAGAGATGAAGAGTCTGAAAATAAACCAAGACATTCTGGTCAATTGACTTTTCACAAAGTTATCAAGTTCATTTAATGAGACATGAATAGACCCCTTAAGAAATAGTGCTTAGACAACTGGTTATCCACATACGAAAGGAAGTTAAACCTCTACCTCACATCATATGCAAAACTTAACTCAAAATGTATCAAATGTCTAAAGGTAAGAGCTAAAGCTATAAAACCTTCAGGGAAACTATAGGAATAAATCTTCAGAACTTTAGATTTGGCAATGATTTTTTAGCTATACAACCAAAAGCACCAATAACAAAAGAAAAAATAAACTGGACTTCCCTGGAATTAAAAACTTTTTGCATCAAAGTGCACAATTCAGAACTTGAAAAGCCAGCTTACAGAATGGGAGGAAATATTTCCAAATCAATTATCTAAAAACTGCGAATATCCAATACATATAAAGGGCTCTTAAAAACTACAAAAGACAACCCAATTAAAAAAAAAATAGGCCAAGGGAGAGTGAGATCACCAAAATGGTAGAGTGGAAGCAATCTGACGTTATCCCCCCAAAAAACTAAAAATAGCTGTCTAGTGCCGAGATTGTCACAATCAATATTGCAGAACTGAAAATTGAGACTATGACGATCTGTGGGGCCATAAGAAAGTGAATACATATGAGCAGCTGGTAAGATTAATGGACTTCTCTCTCCATGATTCTCCAACCAGAAGCTGCTAGGCACCACGTTCAAAATTCCCCCTGGACTCATGGTTTCTTCTATAAAATGTGAGATCCAGGCAGGCAGCTAGGTTCTCTCCCATTTTGGTGTCCTTTGCAGGAATGCTGTTCTTGCCTCACTCCCTAGACAGCATCCTGACTGCCTGTAGGAAGAAAAATCTCTGAGGGCAGTTAGAGACAATAAGTGGAGTTGAAGCTAGGAACCCCAGTGCATTAAATTTAGGGACTCCTCTTTTACTCAAAGAAGACCTCAAGTCAGAGAGGGCATCAGCAGCAACATGAAAATGAACAGGAAGGAAAAAAGAACAGGAAAGGCTATACTTTGGCTGGGCATGGTGGCACATGCCTGTAGTCCCAGCACTTTG